GTTAAAATATATTGATTACTGATCTATTAATTGATCAGTACACATGATAGAATTTTAATAAAAAACAAAAATGTGTCTTGTAATATAAGACTTAAACATGCCTTAGAAATATAAAAAAAAGCATTTAATATAGACTAATTAGTGATAAATATTTTTGGAATTCTAGAATTTTTTTTTAAAAACTTAAATATTATTAAATAAAGTATTAATACCTTATTATTTTTTTATTTAAAGTTGCAGTTATATTAATATTTCTATAGTTAAAGTAGTTGCAATTATGGTGTTATAATTTAGGTATAATTCAGTTGAACTTTAGTTTAGATTGTAGTTTATATTACTTGATATCATTATGATTAAAGTTATTATTACTATGATTGAGGCAATTGCAGTTTATTGTAACTTATATCAATATTATAACTTATATAAATCAACATGTATTAAAAATAAAAAATAAAAACTGAAATGAAAGAATTTTTAAAAAAAAGTTAGGTTTTTTTTATGAAACGCAAAATATTTATTTGTATTAATTCATAAACTTTATCAATTGATACTAACTAAATCTGATCAGATTACTTTATCAATTGGTGTTTATCAATTAGTGCTAACTAAATCTGATCAGATTTCAATTATGCAAAATCATATGATCATATTATCAAAAATCACATGCGTGTATTTAAGAAGTATATTGTTAATATAGATGAGATCAGAGATTCATTGTATAGTATAAATATAGAGGGTGTGCATTTAGCTCTAAGTTCCAGCTTGAAACTGGAATAAAGTATGCATATAAAGAAGTTATACACTTATAAGTAGTGCACTTATAGAGAATTGACTGTATATGACAGTTTCTTTAAAAATTTGTAAAATGTTAAAGGACATGCTAAACTAGCTTGCTATTGAATGTTTGATGAAAGAAGAACTCGTGAGGAAATTACAAGTAGTTAAAATGTTCTAAGAAGCTAACAGACTTTAAATTATCATGGTTGATCTCTTAAAGGATATATTACCTATATCAGCTATGGTAAAGTTTACAAGATTTTTGAATGTTTAACAAATTCCAATCCACTAGCTTTTGTTTTAAGAGAAGTACTTTGTACAAGATCTATTATTATGCAAACATTAGATATGATTAATAAGAAAAATGACATTGATTTCAAAAATTTTCTCAATAATTCTGAAGACAATAGATATTATACTCTTACTCTTAATATTATATCCAAAACATTCAAAACTCCAGAGACAGTGTGTAATTAAAATATTATTTAAAAAGAGAAAGTATCAAGTAGTAATACTTAATTTTATGTTCGCATAAAATGAATTGTTATTTAAATTATTTTTTTTTGAAATTTGTGATAACATCTTGAGTCAAATGACGAAGTGAAAATTAATAATTATCAGAATCTTGACCTAAAGTGTGTTGCAAAATTTAATTTGAACCATATATCTTATCACTTCAATTTGGTTCAGTTTTGATTAAAATTCAACTAATTATTAAGAATTCTTTCAATTTTCTGATTCACTCAATAGGTGTGTAATCAAAATATTTTCATGCTACTTATCTGAGTCTTAATATCAAACAAGATAATGATAACCTTATTAAGAATATCAAACCTAATGATGAATAAACTTAATGTCTGAAATAATCTTGAACAATGGGAATTGAACTAGATAATTCACAACAGATCAATATAATACTACTTTAGAAGAATATAACAATATAATTAAATTTTTTACCAATAGGAATTTCAAATAATATAAACAGGATCAAGAGATTAATATTCATGATTGATGATAAAATTTTGGCTAAACTTTTAATCATTATCTAACATATAGAATCTATTGAATTCTGTGAATTTAAACTGTTATTAAGAGGAAGTTAAGATGGTCACATTGAGAATTCATAGTATAATCTAACTGTTATTTTAGCAAGATACAAATATAATAATCATATTTATGGAATGTACAATATAATTAGATGAGATCATCCTTATTATTATAATAAAGTAGAATAGAATGAAAAAAGTTCACCTTTTAATATTATGATTTGAATTTGAAAAAGCACATTCTATTACATTATCCAATATGGACTAAAGATTATAATATAATAAAAGTTAATTTAAAGATAGTTGCATTATTATAAAAAATATTGAAAAATTATAAATAGATGAAATTGAAAATTTTCAACTTATTAGAAAAATAAATTTTTGATAACAATTTTTTTACATAGGATATTTATTCAGAAAATAAAAAAAAACTTGTTTTTGTATCTGTTTAAACTATAGTATTTTAAATCATTTATAATATTATTAATATTAATTATATGATCATAAATATAAATATTTTATATATTATAAAAAATAAAAATTTATTTTATATTATATTAATATTAGTAATAATTATATTTAATTTATATGTTACAAATTATCTATATCTATTATTATTTTAAATTTATAATTTTATAACATTTGATATTACATGATATTTTATAATTTTAAATTATTCATAAATTAAAAAAAAATATATATATAAATCTAATTATATCCTATTAATTTACTATTAAACAAAATAAAATTTAACATAATAATAGATTCTTTAAATAATTAATATCTTCTATTACTTTGTAAATAGAAAAATTATGTTTAATATCTACACCTGAAACTGAAAACCAAATATAAATTAATGCTATATTAGCTTATATTGATAAGATATTTTTTTTCTATCTAATAATTTTCTAAATCAAAATCCTTCTTCAAATTAATTATTTCATTAAGATTACTATAAATTTTTCATTTTTGATTAAATTTAAATTTGGAATTTAATTTAAATATAATAAAATATAAATTCGATTACTTGAAAATGAATATACTTTAGATCAAAACATTGAATAGTTTCAAAAAGTAGTAAAATTAAATGATTTAAAATATATTTTTTAAATTTTATAATGCATTTTTAAATGTATTAACAAAGATATCTAAATAGTTAATATTAACTTATTTTACTTATAATTTCAATTTCATTTTTTCTGATAATAATGAATACATTATTTTAGAATTTAATAATACATATATTTCTTTTACATGTGAAATTACATATAAAGCTATAGGTTATTATAAATCTTGAAAAATTTCAAATTAATTATCAATCTAAAAATAAAATTTAATTAATTATTTTTTAGTATTAATAATAAAATTTATTAAAATAAATAAATAATACCTTTAAGCATTAAAATAAATAAAATTAATAAATATTATTATATATATGATATTATAAAATAATTACATATATTTTATATTGATTTACTATTATAAATATTATTTTCTTTAAAAAAAAAGTGCTAAATATAAAAGATATTTTTTAATTTAAAAAATAAATTAAATCATAAATTCTATCTTGTTTTAATAGAAAAAAGAGATAAAGTAGGTTTAATAAATAAATTTTGAATTATTTTGAATTAAAAAAGATAAAGTAAGAGATTTAATAGCATTTAAAATAAAATAATTAAGCCATCTACTTTTTCATATTGAAGAATAAGTAAAAGAAGTTTTAAAAATAATATAAACTATAAAAATAATAAAAAGAAATAAAATAAATTACTGTTAAAAGAAATACTGATAAAATAGAATAAATAGGCTATACAGATTATACAAAAAATACAGAAGAAACAAAAGAAACAGATAAAATAAAAATTATTATTGATCACTATTTAATGTAGCAGTAATATCATTTAATGTGAGATTATCATTAATTAGCAAATCTCACATAATATTTAAAGCTGTAATTTTTTTCATTAACACAATATTTTTCTAAATATTTCTGCCACTCATTTTCAAAAGGATTTGTTTTTATAAATTAATTTTTATTTATCTAAAAATCTTATTTTCAGATATTCTATTTATTTCAAAATTTTATGAATTTTCAATAAAATTTACTTTAAATTTTTTTTATTTAATAGCTAATTAATTATATAATATTAAATCAAAATTATTATTTATCTTTTAAAACGAGAAAATTTATAAACTTTTATGCATCTGAAGATCTTTAATTTTACTATATATTATTAAATAAAATTTATAAAATCTGATACATTTAAGAAAGTATATTTAAAGAAAGTTGACTGTATATTTCATATCCAATTATCATTATCATTAATATAACTTAATATTCTTGATAAGTAAGTTTTAATACTATTTCTTTTGTTTTTAATTTATTAATATGTAAAGTTATATAAATTAATAAATAATAATAGAATATATTAACTAATGATTAGTTAAAGTTTGCAAGATTCATGAAGAAAATGACATATTAAAAAAGTTTCTAATATCTCATATATTTACCTAATTTAACATATTACCTTTTAATTCTTATTATCTTATTTGCTAATTTTTAATATGTTAAAGAGGTTTATCAGTGCTAATTTTATTAGTCACATCCTCTACATTTACCATTTTCTTAGAATTTAAAATTTTTCAGAATGTAAAATCATATTTATTTTCTTTTATTTATCATATAAAACCTTTGCAATAGAAAAGGAGAAAATAGCTAAAAAAAATAAATAATTGAATTAATGTTAAATCTGAATATAAAAATCATATTTAGCATATAAAAGTAAAAAAAGATTTTTTTTAGGTATTCCTTCCCCTTTCTATTTCAAAGATCCTATATGGTTAATTTCTTAATGCCGTAATGCCGGCCAAATATCACGTGAGGGTGGAATTTTTGTGTGATAAGGGTGTAACTGTATATGTCACGTGATAAATACTTTAAAAATATTTGGGGTTGGGTCTACACCCCCTCCCTAAGTTAAGGACGCTCCTGAGATAAACGCACTAATCACATGACATTTTTCGTGAAAGATCACGTAAAGAAATTTAACTTCTTTAGTACATTGGGCAGCACTTAAAATTCCTATTTAAGTATAAAATCAGCAATCTTCAATTTTGTTTTAATTTAAAGATTTAAAGACCGAATTTTATTTTCTTCATAAAACATTATAAAAAAATATGGATGCAAATATTATTAGTATCTACGATTTACCTAGACCTTTAAGTAACATAATAACCAAACATGTTGGAATAAATCAAGATTGGATGGTGGTTAAGATAATTCCATTTAAAATTCACGTGTTCTGTAAAGAAACTCTTAAAGAAATTTGGAAATTTCCTTTTGATCCAATTGATATATGTCAAGACTTTTTGTATGATCCGACGAATTCATCAACATCGGAAAAATCAAATGCTAACATGTCCTTTTTAGTCTTGACAAAGGATGGATCTATATGGAAGATTCAATCTAATGTTCAAAGAAATAAAAGGTACAATATTTTCTTTTTTAATCAAAAAAAAAAAAATCAACTATTTACTTAAAATTTTTATATCAGAAATTTCGATTCTCATCAAAGCAATGAAAAAACATCGCCAATGCAATCAAGGCAAATCAAGAAAAACAACGAATTTGACAGTAATTATTCACAGAAAATATCCCGGTCACCAAATAATGGTTATTATAACGTGTTTATCCCTCCTCCTATATTTACTGTTGGAAATGAATGTTTAATCTTTTCAAAGGAAGGACTTTGTTCGCTATTCCCCTGTAATTTGTTCAATGATAATGGAATTTTACTTGGAAAAAAGGATGGAGAAATCGGATTTTTATCATTAAAAGATAGAATAGTTTCTGAATATAATTTATTCGTACCATTTGATAATAATGAGGAAGAATATAAAAAAAATGCTACATGTTTTTTGACCGATATCCTTTATTTATTAATACACTTGTTCCTTGAAGTTGTCTTCATTATAATTATACTTGACATAATATAATCACTTCGTCTTCATGATTCGACAAAAGAAGTTGTCACGAGTTCACCGAATATTACATTGATTTCTAAAGAATTAGCCGAAGCCGCTATTGGACCTATATAGTAATTCATTAATATAAATTTTTATCTTTGATTATTATGTTTCAAAAGGAAATTTATTTATTTTTTTTTAATATATATATATATATTTCTTATCCAGTTATGATACGGATCTTTTGATAACCGGTTATTCAAGTGGTATACTGTCGTTTCATTATTTTTGTAAAGAGAATGTTGAATCTGATATATTCACTTCGTTGAATGTAAGTGTTGGATAAGATATTTTATTTACTCGTATTTATTTTAAACCTTTACTTGATAAATTACAGGAATCTATCCAAGCCATTTATACGCTACATTTAAAACAAGGTGAAGAAACTGAATTAGGATCTAGTTTACTTCGACCTAAACCTAAATTGTCCACCGTTCACAATACATTGCTCATAGTTGGGTGAGTCAGATATTCAATTAAACTCTCATTTTTTTGTTTTTTTTAAAAAAAAAAATAAACTTATATTTTATATATATATATATATATATATATTACAGCGTAAAAGGAACAATATCGTTATTATCTACTGTAATTGCTGAAAATTCTTCTTTAACTTTGGCTTATAAAGAGTATTATGTCCCTAATCCAGTTCATTCCTCTTTTGTTTATAAGGTAGAAATTATAATCTCCAAATCTACCTTGATAGTATATCAAAAGGATTAAAGTTTATTTTGTTCGTTTATTCTGTAGAATCGGTTGGTTGTAACAGCTGGAGAAGGTCGCATAATTGTTATAAATTTCGATAGAAACATGTTTTCGGAAGGTAAATGCATCATGGATGAGAGATTGTTTTATTGCATGTCTAGCTTTTTTTTTTATAAAAAAAAGTAAGAAAGAGTGAACTTGATTCTTATTATTGTTATTATTATTGTTATTATTATAGGCAAATTCGTTCCTTTGCACACAATTCCTGTAATTTTTCCAAAGGGAACCATTAGATTGTGTCATTTTATTGCTTCTGGAGAGAATTCATTTGATGGAATATTTTATGCTTTAACAGTTGATGGAAGATTAATTCGATCTCAATTTTCAGTCACAAGGTTAATTCAGTTTACACCAAAAAAAAAAATTTCATGTAAATTCAATTATTAAATTTTTTTTTGTAGCGACCAAACTCCAAAACAAATGATGAGCGTTGAACAATTGAAAGAAGAAATTCACAAGCAAACGATTATTATCAAAGAATTAACATCCAAGCAAGTGGTGCTGGACAAGCTTAATGCGGTATAATCTTGAAAAAAAAAAGGAAATACTAGCTTTAAATTCATTCGTAATGTTTTTATCTAACTTTCTTGCTTTCTTTTTAGGAATTAAATCCTGCAATAATTGCTCGTAATGAAGTTATTCATGAATTGCATCGTGTACATCAAAAACGTGAAACTGAACAACAGCTGGATGAAGATAATTCCCCATTAGTTGTGGAATGCTTTCCGATAATTATGCCACATTCTATGAATGGGAGTGTTACTCAACGAATATTTTTAAGAATTCGTTTAACGAGCAGAATTGGAATTCAATGGTCAAAATGGTGGTCATGTATCCTTTAAACTCTTTAACAAGATATACACAAAAAAAACTTATATACAAATACCCTTAATATTGCAATACCTTTAATATTTGTGAAGTAATCGTTACTATGACACATCATAGTAGAAGTATTGGTACTTCGAATCATGAAAAGGCTAAACATGAGAGTTTATGTTATTCAGTATCATTGTTGGATATGACGGTCGCATGGTAAATGTAATGGTTTCTGTTTTTTATTGAAATTTCATAAATTAAAATTTTTTGGAATCGAAAATTGTAGGGAACGAGATATTGAAATAAATTTACGATTTTTACAATTTCCCATCATGATTAAACTTGCATTATGCTTTACACCTCCAACACCAATAGATCATACGAATGACGTTCAATATCAACGTATGTATACAAGGCATTCAAATCAAATAAATAACGCGAATATTTTCTGACATTATATAAATATATATACATATATTTCCAGCGCAAGCAACTTATTTTCCTTTGGTGAATATACAGTTCGATATATTGGATTTTATAAATCCATGTCCTCAACATATTTTGTTAAGATTACAACAGGAACGTCATTTTACAATATATCCTTCTTTACCTGATTTCATCACACCATTTGATGGCAATTTTTTTGCTACAAAGGGCGATTTAAGAAAATTTATTGAAAAACTTATGAACAAACCAAACGAGGTATTTTTTATATAGATATAGATTTTTATTTGAATAATTCTCCCTCACGTAGTTTGTCTAATCAAAATGTTATATATTTGATTTCATAGGAACTTAGACCCTATTCAGATTTTATATCATCATTAAATATTAACTCGACATTTATAAAATTTTTCTTGAGATCAGGTGATGTTTCAGAAGTAATTGATTTAGAAGAAGGTAATAATGGTTATGACGGAGCTTGGAAACGATGTCTATCAGTGTTGCTAGGAGAAAACGTTGAAACGTAAGTTAATAATATTTCATTATGATGTGGAAAATTTATTTATTTTCATTTTTGATAAATAGAGAAAAGTTACGAGAAATTATTAAATCCGTCGATTATGCAGTATTTACAACTTCAATGAGTCTTGAGCCCGTTATTTTGAATCTCAAAAAACGTAGGTTAGCCTTTTTTTTTTTTTTTTTGTTCGATTATGCAATTCTTTTGGTTGAATCTTTTTTTTTTCACATAGTGGATCCGATAGAATGCTCGAATGGAGTTCCATTCAATTCAACACCTGTCGAAATAAGGATTGCATGTCGTACACCTGAAGTTTTATTACTCGTTGAAGCGGCGTTATTATCAAGGCTACAAGATTTTTGTTTAGATAATCCTCTGACAAGATCTGAATCTCCCAAGTCATCTTCAATGAAATCAAACGTTACAATCAATAATAACAATTCTGGTAAGCATTTGAAGAACATTTTTAAAATTATCCTATTCATTTAAAATATCAAACCTAACACAATCTTTCAACGCAATTTAATTAAAGTACGACAAATAACGTCTGTTGATCTAACGAGCCAATTAAATCTTATCAAGGAAGATTATGAAAATTTGATTAACATGCTTGAAGATCAACCAAACGAGAATTCCACAGTTAATCAAAAGGAAGAAACTATTGAAGAAAACCTTGGTGATTGGAATCAATTAGAAATGGTGGCCAAAAGATTAGAAAATAGAGTTGTTGACATATTTAAAATTATTAGAAAAGAATTGGAAAAGCATTGGATAAGTGGAGTTGTTGAAATATAACAATTAAAAAGGAAAAAAAATTTTTTTTTGAAAATAAGTCTTAAATCTTAAAAAGTTAATGTATATAAGTTTTAATTATTAATTACAACGGATCTTTAAGCATCAAAGCACTGTCTTTTTAATAATCTGAAAAACTTCAAATTCTTCAATAGGAAATTGGTCGGTATTCGCACGTAAAGGTTTTTCATAGCTAGTTTGTTTACAACCACAAGGCTGACCAATTTCAAAATGACCTTTGGGAAATAAATCACCCTTACCAAATACAGGGGAACAATAAACATTACAATAAATCGAATCTATTGGATTAATGACTCTACTTAAAATATCTTCTTTATCATCAGGATCTTTCCTCAAATTAAAAATAAAACTATTTTTAAGAGGAATATCATTTTGCTGATCTTTATTTGAATTTGAAGAAATAGATTTTTTACTCCAAGTTAAAGGATTATAACCACCAAGTATTTCATTGGAATTGGCAGGTTTAATTAATACAACGGCCCGATTATCCGTTAAAGTTTGTTGGAGGAACGGTTGATCACGACTTCCACGTGCAACGAGTTTAAAATAATATGGTATATTTGATGGTGTGTAAAATGGGGTTTGATTATCTGGGGAATCCAATCTATCAATCCAACTTGCGATCTTTGCCGCATGACGAGGCTTAATAAGAACAGATTGAATTCTTGCATGATGATGAGTATTTTGTTCAGTTATAAGATATAATGATTTTCCTTTAATACCAGGCTTGTGTAAAGTTGCGGGTAAAACTCTTTTATAAGAATGAACTTGTCTTTCAAAATCAACGGGAGACATATTACACCATCTAATAAATGGGATCAAAGGACGTAAAACTTTCTCTAATTCCACACAATCTTCATCGGGCCACCTTGCAACATCTGGTATTACCGTTTTGGTTGGCAATTGACCTATTCCCCATTGTACGATGCGTTTCCAAAGTTCCAATTCTCCCATACCGAGATCGTCTCTTTTTAACAGCCATATAACTGTATCGTCTTCTAATGATGCGAAATCATCTGATTTTAATAATAATTCTGGTTCTTGATAAAGGGCTTCTTCCATTGTTTCGGCAAGCTTTGTGCATGTCGGATATTTCTGCCCAGCATTATAAATTAATACAGATTGTTTGTTCATCCATATATGCTTTCTATCTAATAATTCTTCTTGTAACACTTCAACTAAAACACTAAGGCATAATTCATCTGCTGCTCCTAAAACATCCACAATTTGAGCTTCATTAAACTTCTCTATATCAATGTTTGATGAATAAATGTAACTAGAATTTTTTTTTTTTTGAGAAAAAAAGTTAATAAAAAATTTCAATTAAACAAAAAGAACTCTGTTGGTTCTTTTGACTCACTTGAGAATGATATCGAATGTTTCTGGAGTGATATTAGGTTTCGTAAAAACATATTTCCCATCCTCTTTAATCGCCCATCTACTTGATAATGCTTGACGAAAATATGGCGATCTCAACTTTAAGATATAATAGTGAGCCTTAAATTTTTTCGTGTTTGGCTCTTCACCCGCATTGATAATCACATCATGTTCATCATCGTTTTCAAGTAAATTTAAAAAATCATTCTTAAATTCTTGAAATAATCTATTATTAATTTTTGAAGTCATTTTTCTTTTTCTTTTTTTATTTAATTAGAAATTTTCAGAAATCAATTTGTTTGAGTTAATTAGGTTTGGATAACAATTTATATGATTTGCTCGTAGTATAATTATTATTAAAAAAAATAATGAATTACCCCAGAAAAATTCTTCGATCACGTGATCAAAACTTATTTATCACCTGTGTCACACCCTTCGAGTTTTCCATTTTCCATTTTCATAAGTATCTGAGGCAGTGTGTAAAATCTAAACCAAAAATCATGTGCTAAATGTGCACATTTTTATGACATCATATGTGCACAAAGTAAT